TAGAGAATTTTGTGCTTCATAAATTCATAAACATGTTTTTGTTGAACAGAAAACTATTATAGCTTAAGAAAATATGTCACATTATGTCCCCTTTAATATGAAGTAGTTTTCTCATTGTTTAGCTGGACAGCAGCTTATAAAGTCAGTCCTCAAGGTTGTTACAAGTATAATTTATAGGTCTGTTGTTCCAATTTACCAGGGGATTTCACCTCTACCTGTCCATGAGGTTTCACTTAAAAAAAAGGAAAGTTAATGAGATGCAGATATAAGGCATGACAGTAGAAAAAAGATGCTAAACAAAAGAGTCTGACCTGAGTAATGCAGGGATTTCGGGACATTACATCACCGCTGCAGTGGCCGATACCATGAAAGCCCTTTCCTTTGTCCATGACTCTCACTCTGTCCATCACCAATTTGCATATCTGTGCAAGTACCTTCATTTAACTACAATTATTATACTGATTTTAATCAGAAATATAAAAACCAAGAGTCAACAATGTAAATGAAATATTCAAACATAATAAATGTAAGTCCGTTTTTTTCTTTTTTACACCTCAACGTAAAGTGTTTTTTCTGTTTTAAATTGTGTTTCTTTAATATGTGATATAATATTTTTAGATGTTTCACATGAAGCATTTGTTATGATTCAGTCTGACAGACAGGTTTGCTTCTCTGTTTGTTTCTCCTCTTTCCAGGTGCGCGTGTGTGCGCACATTCGTGTCCCCCACCCACCCCCGTTTGCTTTTATCATAAAGGAAATTAAGATAAAAGTTGGTATAAAAGGGGAACACGCCCCAGTCACAACCCCTTGTCTTTCCCGTTCAGCAACCAGCTTATTTGATGGAAGGTAATGAGCAAAAAGAGGAAGAAGAGGCCAAACAAGAAGCAGAAGGTCAAGCAGACCTGCTGGGAAATGCCAGAAACATTTTCCTTCATGAAGACAGCAAGGAAGAGAGAGAGAAGGGGAAGCTTTCAAGTTTTCACATCAAAAACTCAAACAGCGTTTGAAAGCAAACTGCACTGACCCCACACTGTTAGGACTAATTGTTGCATGATACATCTTATTTAGAACCAATACCTGTTCGTTTGTGACCACTTCACAAAAGATAATAAAATAAGTGGGAAAACCGTCTACGGTGAAAAAGAGTTAAAGTTCTCATCTTAGTCAGATCATGTAAATAAATCTGCAGCATCTTTTATATCCAACACACACACACACACACACGTTTGCAGATTTATTGATAAAAGCGCAATTTGATAATTTTGCTTTTTCATGTTTTTGCATCACATTTAAAGTGACAATGTGTAGTTTTTACTGTTAATCTCTGTAAATATCAGTCAAAATGTTGTTGAAAATGTATTAAATGATGCCCAGTTGTTGAAAAATATTGGCGGCTTTGTACCAAATAATCATAAAATTCAGGTCTAAAATACTGAGAAGCAGGTCTAAGTCTCCGGGCGACGCCATATTGGATGCCATGTTTCCTTCTACGAGAGCCCTTGAGGACGAAGTGCATTTACTGATTTGTAACAAACAGTTACAACATTTCATCATTCATAAATGTTTTGGTTTTACACATTTACCTCTTCACCCCTTGCCAGTGATGAAATCGAGTCTGATGTCCTTGTCATTTTGCTGAAGTTTGCACTCCCTGGGGCTTTTTGACCCTGATGGGCATCTGTTGGTAAGGTCTTACTCCACCACAAAAATACAGCTTTGCTTGCAAGGATTTAGGTATCTACTGCCCCCTATCGCCAGGAAAAACACACACTGTCACTTCAAGATTAAACTGAGACTAGGCAGTTTTGGCTTGCTTTAAGCACCCCCTAGTGTCCGTTAGTGAAACCAAAAGAGACACTCATCTCCCTGCTGTGTGTTCATCTTTTTAAAGAGCAAGTCACCCCCAAATCAACTATTTTTTTCTGATAAACTATATAAATGCGTGTCTAATCATGCTGCAGACACGTGTAGTCAATAGTTTTGCACTTTAGTGCATTTTAGTTAAAATTTAAATTTTCTGCCTGAAACTGTCAGTGTTGTGCCGTTGTCAGGTAAAAACTCTTCACTGCATTTGAATTTAAATCTGCCACCGCTATTGGCTAAGAGGTATGTTATGATGTAAACTGATACATTATGATGTCACAATGTTGTGAGTGTGTGTATTTGTTAGTGGCTCCACCCTCTCGGTCTGCTAGGCAACAGCATTTGTTGCATTTTTCAGACATGAAGTGGGAGTGAAGTACGCTTCTTGTAAGGGGTGACTTGCTCTTTAACACCTCAATCTAACTGCTGAAATGTCTCCTAAGTCTTCATTAGTCTCTACAGGAGCAGTGCATCACTAAATCAAACAAATCGGCTGTGTTCATGTTCTAAAACAAGCAGGAAACGTGTTAGAAGTTGACTGCAGCGCCAGGAATTTCAGCCCCACTTTACTAAGTCCTACAGGGACAAGACTGGCACTCTGAAGTTGCAAGTGCGATATTCTGGCCGCAAAGGGAGGCTGAGGAATGAGTGACTACAGGCTCAAGAAAAAGATTTAAAAATATAAAAAAGTTGCATAGTTTGCCTTTAAAAACTATTAATGTCCAAATGAAGATGCTTATTTTCTCGCTGTTAAAGTATCTTTCCAGAGTTTTCCCCTTTCAGAAATTATGTATGATTTGTCAGAAATCTGTAAAAGTGATTGTCTTATCATGTACTGTGATATAATGTAAGCAATACGTCTGTTTTATTTCTTTATTTTTTTGCTACGCATGCCCCCTGCCCGGCAGAGCTCCGTGCAATAGGAAACTGAGCACCGACCAGAACTAACCAATAGCGTTAGACTACCGCTTAGATGCTTCAAATTTAAGGAATATCTCGGCTGATGCAGAGGTGATGAACTTTTCAAGGACAAGAAAGTCTCTAAAATATAAATATATGAGAACATGACATGACATGAGAATAATACTTGTAAAACAACGTGTTCTAGCTCTGTTTGTCGGCTACAGAAGCACATTTGTAAACAGAAACGTGAAGTCGCCATCTTAAAAAAACGGAAGGAGTGTGATATGCTTGTCAGCCACTAGATGGTGCCATCTGATAAGAGAAATACTCTGGAAAGAAGCTTTAACACATGCATTGAGTATAAACCACCTATAAGGACACTAATGTCAGAATAAATCAATACATGCAACTCCTCACTAGCTTTACATTGCCATGAAAATATACATCCTTGTTGTTTCTCAAGGTGCCTCTTTTCATTAACAATTTTCATTAAAAATACAATAGCATTCTTCAATGAACTTTCAAAAATTATGACACCCCTGTGTATTCGAATGTGTCGGTACGCCCTGTCCGTCCGGTACGCACTTTCGTACCGAGTTTCTACTCTAATTGCATCGCACATTAACCTACAGCATGCTAACTAAACACATAGTGGAGTGCCGCAGAAGTTATGGCAAGCGACTCGGGAGAGGAAGCGCTCGAATATCCACCGTTGTCATTAAAGTCTCCTGTTTGGGAACACTACGACTTCCCGGTAAGATATGTAGCAATGAACACATGTATCCCCACATTACCAAGCTAGCAAAATGCTACCTTGCCATACCAGCGTCCTCTGTCCCCAGCGAGAGGGTTTTTTCTACTGCTGGAGAAATCGTAACAGCCAACAGATCTGCCCTTTCTGCAGACAATGTGGACTAATTTCTGGTAAAAAAAAAAAAAAAAAAAAAAAAACATGAAGGTTGAGTGAACCTAAAAAGGCAACAAGCTGGAACTCCTAATGTTGCAGAATGTTTTCGTTAACCTATTTCAATCTGAATAATTCCGTTTGTTCCTTCATTTACACTTTAAGTTCTTCAAAAAAAAAACAGCACAATAATCATCTTGCAGACTCCTAAATAAATATTTAAACTTGCATATATTTATTTTTTTATCTTATTTTTTCTCAGTCTATATGTTAAAGAGTTTACAAGAGATTATAAGTAGTTGCACTTTAAACATTCTTAAAGTTTTGCTTGTATGCACAAAATAAGTCTTTATTTCAGTAGTTAAGCCCGCTCTTTCAGATGCACTTTGTTTATTTGTAAAGAGCAAGTCAAATGTTGATGCTGCATTTTTCCAATAATAAAATATTGAAACCTGTATATATTTTTATGTTGAAACCTGTATATATTTTTATGTTAAACATTATATATGTTACTTTTCATTTACTGGGAATATCTCGCAGAATGTAATGCAAGTAAATGTTCAACTTAAATGTAAATAAAGAATTTACTGTTTACACAAGAGAAAAGCGTTTTTGATTTTTTTACTGTACCGAAAACGTACCGGACCGTATTATTAAAGCCAAGGTATGTACCGAACCGGGATGTCAGGCGTAGCGGCACACCCCTAATAATAAAAAACAGAGCTTAGGATAGTCTTACATGCACTCTGACAACAAAGCAATTCATGCATGAAGGAACGATCAGCTCTCATGTTTGATGCAGATGCGTTGGTATAAACTTTAACTACTTCATAAATAAAACATAACATGATAAAATGGTTTGTTCCTTCTCTGCTGGGTAGAATTCAAGACCATGTGCACCTAACACTTGTGATTTGTCACTTCCGATTAGCAAACAAGTGACCAGACCTGACGCCGGTAAAGAAATTCAACGAAAAGAAAGAAATATTGTCTCAATTTGTGAGGAAGAATGAGGTTTTTTTTTTAGTTTGCACCTGATCAGAGTACAAAAACAGCTGACACGTTCACACAGAAATCACCAACAAAGCTTGTTGTTTTCATAAAAAAAAAAAACACAAAATGTACAGTTTCACAAACACACATTTCATTAAGACAGACATAGAGCTGTGACGGGAGAGTAAAGCTTGTTGTCTGGACAACTGTGCCTATGTGAATTGGGCACAGTGACGCAGCATCTTTGCAGCAGCATCCAAGGACACAAGTGAGGAGGCAAAACATGACAACAAACACAAGACAAAAGCCAAGACAGAGAGGAAGAGTTCAACTCACCTCACTAGATGAAATTGTGTCTGTGGCTCAGAGGAAATAGTAACATCCGAAACCTGAAAAGGACAACAGAGGAGGAGCGGGGAGACAGTGAGATGGGGGGAGGAAAAGAGGAGGAGGGAGAGATTAGACTTAGCTGCCAGCACTTTGGGGGAATAATGTTAGACAGCATCTCAGGTAAACACACACACACACACACACACACACACACACACACACACACACACACACACACACACACACACACACAGAGCAACCATCAGCAGAACTCCTGATGGGGAGCATGTAAGGCAGAGGGGGGAGCAGCAGGTTAGGTGGTGAAGTGTAACCAACAGTAGTCTGGAAGTGAGAGGACGTCCTAAACATGGCAGCAACACGAAAAGCGATAAAGTGACAGAAAGAAAGCCAAGCTCAATGGTAAGAGCGGGTGTTTGTACATGTTTAAGTGACATGTACAGCATTTGTTAGACTGCACACACAGATAGCTGCCCGCAGCTCTCTTCTTCTTTTTCACATAAAACTCATGAAAAGACAAACCAGACATGCTCATCAGACAGACAGTCATGAGAGCAGACATTCTAGTCTTGCAGCCACTGCATCTATCTCTACAATGCTAAAAAGATTCTGTGCTGATGCCACTAAACCCTTTAGTGTTTTTAGGAAAATGGTGCAAAGGTTTAGAAAGGGACCACTACAACAAAGGGCATAAAAGTAAGTGCAAAATTTTGAATACAGGGTGTGATTTTTAGCTTTCTTTTCACAGCACAGCATGATTTACTACCCTAACTAGCCTAATCGAAGAGTCCCTGCAGGGGGACAATAAAATAAAAGAAAACACTAAAGATTTATGCATAAATTATGAAGCCTTAAAAAGTCTGAAAGTAAAAAGAGAACTATCTGAACAAGACCGAAACACCCAAAGACTGAAAAAAACAGCTGCATCTTCATCACAGTCACTTTTGAGAATATGTTTTGCAAAAATGCATTCAGAATGTTGGTCAAAATATAAAGAAATACAAAAAGGATCTTACTTTAATGCGATCTCTTCCAACTGAGTGAGCTCACAGGTCTATGTTAAGACCAGACAATACGGGATACTAAAGGCAGTGATGAGTTGTGGCAATCCTTCTTCCTGCACCTGCATTAACCTTCACAGTTCCTCTTACAGGAATTCAATAGGGCACCCTGTGCAGCTTTCTGCCTGTTGAGCTGTTATTAACAAGAACCATTTATAATCTCATTAGATGTGTGACAGATAATGGATTCCACACAGGGTTTGAATTCAAAAGCTTCAACATGAGAAGTGAAATTACCTGTGGTAATGTACCGATGGCAACACGTTTGGATGGAGTTAGAGTTAGATGTATTTTTGACAGCTTATCACAAATGTATTTGCATCCTGCAAGCATAACCACAACATGCATGTTATCTATTCACTTTGTAATTGAGCTTACTTGTCATATATGTTGTTTTCTGAGAATTACTGTATCAGTAACTTGTTTGCGAGACACCTCTGGTGCTCCAGTTGTGGAAAAAAACAATCATTTTCAAAGATGCCAAAGCTAAACCGACACAAATGGTCTAAAAAAGGAAACGGAGGGTTGCCTAGAGGACATGATCTGCAAGATCTCCACTAACTGCTTAAAGGTTTGATTTTATATGATTAGATCTGATGACAGATATAAAATGCAAGCACTTTTTCAAATGATGCATCATAATTCAATAGAACCCACACAAAGACTACAAAACTTACTGAAATTGTTTTATTGTTTATGCTTCTTCAGATTGATATAGGTTAAAGCTACAATGGCAAATCTGCAAAACAAGCTAGCTTAAAACATTCTTCTTCATGCCTCTTAAAGAGACAATAGCTACATTTACATACGCCAAATTTCCCCAATCCCATTCAAATCTTGGTTGATCTGAAATCCCAAATCTCTGTTTATATGGACACAAACTGAAGTGATCCAACCATGCCGTGGGAACACATGCACCAAGCGATCAGGCAGGTTAAATAGGTTTAGCACGCGCAGTTGTCTTTCGCTGGAAAAAAATTATAAAGAAACGTCTCTTGTCTGCACTTCCTTTCCCTCGCATTTATTATTCTTATTCTCTAGCGATGTAAAGAGCTGTGATTGGTCCATAATGGTGGGCCAATCATAGTGCTCTATCTGCTTAGTGAACAAATCACAGAGCTTTATCCGCTTTGTGGGCCAATCAGGGCACTCTATATGCCTGGTGGGTGGGACGATGCAACAGAGTGAAACAAGAGGATGTCACATTCATTGTCCAGTGGAATGCGGAGATCATTTGAAAGACAACGGTAGAACCCGCCCCAACACCGAGAGCCGTCAATGGAGCGTTGCCAGACTAATGAAATTTGAAACAAAGGCCATTTCAAACAGCTTTATTTTTTAGTAACATATCGCCTACCATGTGCGTGATTGGCCCACCAAACCAATAGAACACGGTGATTGGACCGCTACAGATGTCAGACAACAGGACAGTCCGCCATTACATCGTGGAAGAACTACATAAAACATAAGAAAAAGAACATAAAATAATACATCGTTTTTCTAAATAAACTCGCTTTGTTGGTCAGCCACAATCCTGGCCATTCTTGTGAAGGTTCCAATGCAGCCTGCCTAGATGGAAATACAAAGCAAAATTATTTTTGCTTTAGCAAAGACGTCTAGATCAGGGTGAGCAATCCTGGTTCTCAAGGGCCGCTTTCTAGCAGGTTTTAGTTGTTTCTCTGCTTAAACACACCTGGTTTGAATCTGCTAGTGATTAGCAGGCTTCTGCAGTGCCTGATGAGCTGCTGAACAGGTGATTCATCCAGGAACCAGGTGTGTTGGAGCAGGTAAACAACTAAAACCTGCTGGATAGCGGCCCTTGAGAACCGGGGTCTCATTTATCAAACATTGCGTAGAATCCTTACTAAAACCTTATGCTCAGCAAAAAAAAATTACTTATACCAAGTAGGTTTGTGATCTATCAAACATGGAGTATGCACAGCTGCATGCAATGTTCGCTTCATAAATCAGAAACTATCTTGTAAGGTTCTCAGCCCACTTACTGCCATAAATAGTCAATGCAAAGTGCCTTATGGATCTCATGGATATACATAAGTCGGCTTGTTGCAGCATTTCAATCATGACTGCAGAACAAGGAAGCGCTGTTTCACAAGCAGAATTGAGGAACTAGTGGGTGAGGTGGAGAAGTGAAAGGAAGTGCTTTTGCAAAACAAATAAGAGAAAATACACAGAGTGGCACAGAGTTGCTGAAGCCGTCAATGTTGTTAATTCTTCAGAGAGATCTGTGGCGGGTATCAAAAAATGGTCCAAGCAGGATTTGATCCCCAGACTTCCGGGTGAAAGTCACATGCGCTAACCAGTCACCCAAATGGAGATCTCCCTTGTCCAAGTAACCAGGGCGCATGATCAATCGGGCCACAGTAACAGGACACACACACTGTCACAGACACATGACATTCTGTCTCAATCTGTCCCCCCGCTGATATTCTGCAATCCGTATTCTGCGCTTCAGGCTGTCTGTGTGTGTGTGTGTGTGTGTGTGTGTGTGTGTGTGTGTGTGTGTGTGTGTGTGTGTGTGTGTGTGTGTGTGTGTGTGTGTGTGCGTGGGTTTTTTTTTCTGTGTGAAAACAAAGCAGTACAAGTGATAATGCTGCAGGATTTCATCATTTTATCCATCTCAGCAGCAGCACTGCAGGTGCTCTCCATGTCCAAAATGTGCCAGGTCCTCAGTCAACCTAAAGCTGCGTACATTTTTCCACTAAGTTTTCTTTCATAAATCCCAAAGTTTGCGTGGAAAGTTGCTTACGCAGTTTTCTGACCCCGTTTTGTGCGTAAGCAAGCTTGATAAATGAGGCCCCTGGACTGCCCACCCCTGGTCTAGATTCCAGGCTATCACACCCCAGCTTTAATCCACTCAAAACTTGCTTGTAAATGCTTGTGTCTGTATAAAAACGCTCTCAAAAGCAACTGAAGCTCCTTATGTAAACAAGATAAACACACCAGAAGGCAACGAGACAATGAAAGATGGCGCTGTGGCTAAGAGGAGAGCAAATGTCTGTCTTCTCCTCAGAATCTGTCATCTTTTTCTTTCTCCACCGCAATTGTTTATTTTCTCTCCTTGAGGGTCAGACCTGAGAGAAGCATTGCATCTGTGTGACTTGTTATTGTTCAAAATTATATTTCATGTCATGCAACAGCATGTTAGAGACATGGGAGAACAAAAATCTTCAGTAAACACCAAAAATTCATTTCTGGTAAAACGAATTGCAAAATGCATGAGCCTCCTTGGCTTTCTTCAGTCTGGGATTTGAAGTAGCTCCGTGTTCTGCCTGAGGGAAGGAGGGTGAAATGTTCAGAGCTTCTAGTTTTGTTTCATTAGACAACATTTTACATTTCAGTTTTATAGCTAAAAGTGTTTTGGCCTCCTGCTGAGACAATTTATCTGGACTCGAATCAATGAAAACCAACATCAGCTCAGAAACGTAATAATAAATATAATCATTACAAAAGAGGCTGAAGGAGGACATTTCGAACATCACACCTGGCAGGAGAATTTCTACAGATCTTCATAAAATGATTCTGTTTTGACCAAAATCCTTTTCTTTTGAAACGCGTTCACAGCAAAATCTCCAGCTGGCCTTCAGCAATGTCTATGTCATCCATGTTGCTAGGCAACACCAAAGCTAGATAGAAGATGGCAAGGCAACATTCCTGAATGCATTTGCACTATGTCACTCACAAAGGGGTGGTTGACAGAGCAAACAACAACAATTCCCTGTGACATCATCAAAACACTCAAGGTCGTTCAGTCTCAAAGTGTTGAGGGACTTTGTGCCACCAGAAACGCCAGGAGGAGGGTTCGCAAAGACGGTGACGACGATGGGGACAGTAAAAGGAAAATGGTATTTTCTGATGAAACTTATTGTAGAATAAATTAGTGGCGATTAAATGTGCAACATAAAAATTGAAAGGGAAATGCCAGCAAATGCATTCAGAACTACAATACACTTCTTGGAAAA